ACCTCCTCTGAGCTACCCCCACATGTGTATTTCCACTGTAAGCCTCTCTGAGCATGTGTCTTTCCCTCGGCAAGCCACCTTGCCACCCCTGGGGTTGAAATATTCCACCTGCGGCTGGACACCCCAGTGATTCCCCATATGCATCCCTCGGGTCATATGTGTATTCTTAAGTCCCCCCCCCCCCCCCTCTGGGTTGGCAGTAATCGCATACTTCCCTAAAAACTGGGATATGCTCCCCAGTGTACCTTGGTATTCCTGTGCTAAATAGGAGTCCTTCGTCCGTGCTAGTTCACGACAGGGATCTCAGATTTACGCAGGGCACTGGTAGACAGCTGAGAAGGTGGCGTGATTAGACTGGTATCCCCATTCGTCGTCATCCGACGGAACTCGTAAATACTCCAATAAATACTGCAATTGGATCTACTGTTTCCCGTGTGTGTGTATCGTGACAGTCATTAAGTGTGTCCCTTAAAGCTGCAGTTGGCAAGTCTGGCAGATTGAGTGGATTTAGGAAAATTTTGAATGTTTACAACTCTCATGCCCCTCCCCCACTATCAATGGCTCACCCTCCCACCGAGTTCATGCTTGTCAGTGCGTGTGCACCAGATTTTTAGTGAACGCGCCCATCTCATCAGCATCCATCAACACCATGGATTATTTGGAGGTATGCTGTCCTGGCTAATCTACCGATAGATTGCAATTGCTAACGTAATTTATACTCTAAATGAGCTTACTTGATTTTCCGCCATCACTCTTCGTTACTGCGCGAACTTCCGCGAACTTCAGGCGTGTGCATGTGATTGTAACGTGCGCGAGGGGTGGCGTGTGCCCGATCTGTGATTGACAGTCAGATCTCACACCACCCTGCGCTGATTGGACATGATGAACCGGGAGCTGTGGATTTTTGCAAAACAAATAACACGCTCCAGGTGGAGTTAGAAGCTCTGGGTTTTTTCTAAAACCACTTTATTTATGTTGTTCTGTCAGATTATAGTGTCGATTTCACTGAATATGATCCAAAAAATGTTGCCGACGGCAGCTTTAAGAAAAGTTGTTGTGGGCGTGGCCTCTTCTAAAGCTTTGCTGTCTGAAGCTTCTTTACAAGATGTTTGTGATGTAGCAGGATGGTCCTCTCCACACACATTTATACAATTTTACTGCCTCAATATGAGTTATACAGGCTCCTATAGGTGCTCCTTTAGTTTGTTTACATACAATGTCACTTTGCAAGAGCAAGCATCCTATCAGTATGGCATAGTGGGTATTAATGCTCCCATAGCGTCAACAACCTGACTGATTTCTCCCAAAAGGGAACGTCTCGGGTTACGACTGTAACCCCAGTTCCCTGAGTGTGGAATTAGATGCTGCATCTCATTGCCATAATTTCTTGAGTGTCTTCCTACAGCCAATCAGAAGCTGATGACGTTCAATGCAGGCATAATTTGCGATGCGCCATTTCACGTCATATGACTACCGGCAGCTAATAGAATTAGCGTGATTTCAGAGACTTCAAAGACCGGTCACACAGAAGCTTTCCCATAGCGACAACAACCTGACACAGCATCTTGTTTTTTACTCAGGGAACCAGGGTTACAGTCGTAACCCGAGACTTTCCCTAAATTTTGTCAGTTAATAATGTTTGATATTTTTTTATGTCATTGACAGTTTTAAACTCTTAAAAATAAAGGTTCTTTATTGGCATCTGTGGATTATTAAAATGTTTTTCACACACTCAAAGTTTTTCTTTAAAAAACTGTTCACTGAAAGGTTATTTGGGGAAACCACAATGCTGCCTCTATGGAATCTCTTCAAAAACCTATTTTTGGAACTAATAATAGTGTAGCTCCAAATGAACTGAAACTTAACCTAAAATTAATAGAAACCTCTGTAAATTGTGCTAGAGTTTGAGAAGTGCAGATGTTCTTTACTGTATATGTCACACAGGTCGAGGGGAGGAATGCTCGGATGACCAACCACCCCCCCTCTCTCTTACTGAGCCACCACCGTGGGGAGCCGACACCACAGGCACACAACAGAGGACTACGGAGACACAGATAAGTTTCAAAGGAGGAACAATCTTTATTGAACGATAAAACAAGGGGCATCAATTGGATAGCCTTCACTGTCCTCTAGATATCCTTCTGTCACGGGCGGGCGTGTCGCAACTGTCACGGTGTCCCCTGGGCGACAATTTAGGGACTCCGTTCACCAGCGGTGCTGCATGCTTCTGGACTCAAACAGTAAGTAGAACAGGTAAGGATATTCACAGTACCGAGAACTCTCATCGGCACACCATAATGGAACAATGGTTTGAAAGCTTACTTTTTCCCAGCAGTGCTGCAGACTTCCGAACTCGGGCAGTAAGTATAGCAGGTAAGGATCCCTCGCAGTGCGCGGTACTCTTCGGTCCACAGGAGGGAGACAGTGAGTTAAAGATTTACTTCGCCCATGATGCTGCGTCCTTCTGGACTCAAACGGTAAGTAGAACAGGTGAGGATCTTCACAGTACAAAATACTCTCTTCAATGTACAGCAGTAAGACAATGGATTAAACAGGGTACTTTACCAGTGATGCTGTATACCTCTGGACTCGGACAGTAAGTAGAACAGGTAAGGATCCTCACAGTACACAGTACTCTCTTCAGCTCGCAGTAAGGAGACAGTGAATTAAAAGGCTGCTTCCCAAATGATGCAGTGTGCTTCTGGACTCAACAGCAAGTAGAGCAGATAAGGATCTTCGCAGTACAACGTACTCTCTTCGGTACACAGCAGGAAGACAATGAATTAAAATGGTACGTTACCAGTGATACTGTAGGCTGCTGAGCTCAAACAGTAAGTAGAACGGGTAAAAATCTTCACAGTACAATGTACTCTCTTCAGTGCACAGCAAGGAGACAATGGATTAAAAGGGTACGTTACCAGTGATGCTGCATGCGTCTGGACTCAATAGTAAGTGGAACAGGTAAGGATCTGCACAGTACTCTTCTTCAATTCACAGTAAGGAGACAGTGGGTTAAAAGGGTACGTTACCAGTGATGCTGCATGCGTCTGGACTCAACAGTAAGTGGAACAGGTAAGGATCTGTACAGTACTCTTCTTCAATTCACAGTAAGGAGACAGTGGGTTAAAAGATCGTTTCTCCAGTGATGCGGTAGGCTTCTGGGCTCAAAACAGTAAATAACAATTAAGGACCTTCACAGTACAGGGTACCCTCTTCAGTGCAGCTGTATCACACTGGACTTTCAATGGGGAGCAGATATAGTAACTTTCCACAAACGTGTAAATGGGGCTAGGGCCACTTCTCAGCAAAGGCACAGCACACTTGTGTTCACTTCAATTCCACAGCCACAAATCAATGTGTATCAAGGCAAAAGCACTGCAATTCACTCACACGTTAAGGCTGGTCAGAGGCCCCACTCAGTTTGTTGCGCTCGCTCCACGAGGGATTTCTCTCTCAATTCCTCCTCAACACACTCTGAAACACATAGCTCTTCCGACAATCAGATCCACATCTACTGCATCCTCTTCCAGCAATTTAAATACTCATAAGATGAAATCAGTTCACTTATCTCTTCTCTCTCCTTCCACAGCACCAATCCAGACGATAGCTCAGTCCCGCAGACTTCCCACAAACGATCACTCTGATCCAGCAACTCAAATGGGCGATCTCCACACCCCAACGGTTTTCCTGAGGAAGCTTGTATCCAACACTGCTCCAAGTCAACCCTTTAGGCTCTTCAACACTTCCAACTCATTGAGCAACGCGAACCCACTGAACAAACGCGAACCCACTGAACAACGACCAACACTCTCTGAATGGTCCCTTTTTATCCTGGCTTGCGTAACAGGAAGCCTGTGTGAGCGCCGCTTCTCTCTCACACCTGCAATGCATTAGCGCTAATCAGTGCGGGCATGTTTACATCACCGGAGTGGGGCGTGTTGCACACAATACCTTCCCCTGGGAAACTTAGGACTCTCAAGGGGGTTCCGCTTGCCGAGCGATTTTGTCACCCGTGACATACTGAACTCGATTGGTTTGTCATCCTGTTACAGCATGAACGCAGTGAGTCAGATGAAGGACAGGTGAGTGTGTTATTCACACTGATGAGATTCCGCGAGGTTTGTGTTCTTATCATCATAAGCGCTAGAGTTACAAGCATCTCTTATCAGGAGTTTCCTTTTGTTTGGACATGGCTGTAAGTGCGGAGCATAATGGGTGGTGGATTTGTGGTGTCTGTGAAAGGGTAAGATGATAACTCTCTGTTTGATCTGTTATTTGCTGCGCTTGAGCCAAACTGCTGTCTTACTTCAGCAGATGTCGGCTTCAGATGATTAATTCTCAGCCTCAGGCCAAGATTAATGCTTTGAAATATGACATCGTCACAATCAAACCACACACATCACAAATATATATATACATAAAATGTATTCATTCGAATAAGGAGCTGTTGAGATTCAATGTCTCAGTTGTTTCTCCTTGACAGCATTGAGTTTCTATGGAAAGCAAATAGAGACATTGAGACAGCCTGATCCTCTGACATTTCTCCTTTGTAATCTCACACGTGTATCATCGAGAGATCTAAGCGATGTTTCAAACTGTGCCCGATATTCCTGAAATTTTGAAGTAGAAAGACTGAAATAGTAGTTTCTCGTAAAATGTACTCCAATAATCTGTTTCATCTACAACTTACCACTTACAATTTAACAGTGTTCCTTATCAAAACTGCATTAGGTGTATTGAACTGCTGAGAAATTAACATTGTTTTTTTTTTTGTTTTCCTGCTATAAGCTTTCAGAAATAGTTTTATAAGGGTTTTATACTTGAAATATGAAAGAAATGCAATGCAAAAGATTCTCTGAAAACAAGAATCATTATCTCCTGATGTTGCTTCTGATTTGAGAATGTTTTTTTTTTTAAATGAAGAAGCAGAATGAGGAGGTGTCAGAGAAAAGGAGGAGGAGACACGGGAAGGTGCTCATCCTTCATATTTCATCTACTGTGGTCAGTGGAAGTGTGTCTGCTTCTACCTGTGTGGGAGAAAGACCACATCCCTGCTCATCACCGTCCCTCCTTCATTCACGCCTGCATTGACAAATAATGGCCATAATTATCTCACACATTGACGTGGATCATCAATGCATTAAGTAAGAGGCTTTTTTGGAGAAGTGCTTTACCCCAAATTGAAGGTACGATTCTTACTGTGTTTTTGTGTTTTTATTGCATGATTCATGTTTGGACAGATATTTCAGAAGCTCAACAAGTGCTGTTTTTCTGTCGTGTCACTATTTGACTAAAACAGCTTGTGTACTATGTTGTGATCTTGTGTGAGCAGCAATTGAGTTTGTCAGAGAAATTTAGCTTCAAACTATTTCATTCTTGTGGTTTTTTTTTTTTTTTTTTTTTTTTTACTATTTTGAATTTTCATAGTAATTCCCTTAATATTTTGCAAAATGTCTTTATTTATTTTATGTAAAACGATTCAAGCACATTTGGGTCATCATTTATCAAATATGAATATTATTTGTAAACACTTGCAAGGAGATATTTTATATGATCTAATCCTTAAAAATTCGTTTAATTTCCCTAATTTATCATATATCAATTGATTCAAGCTCATTTTAGTCATCATTATTAAATATTATATTATTTGTAAACAGTAAAACTGCACAGTTGTAAGGTATTTACATGATTGTTAAAATGCCTTTCATTGGTGGAACCAATTGATTTGGTCATTAAATAATGTTTTGATCAGAGGAAAAACTGTTAATTCAGACGAAGCTCATGTTTAGCATTTGCTAGAAGGATTATGGCAGTAATGAATCATCTATTACATGTTTATTACAACATAATGAGTATCTCATTAAACGGATCTAAATGTGACATTCTTGGTTGTTAATTTTTGAATAGATCTGTTGCTTCAGTCTAATTTATTTAACAGCCTGCAGACTCATTGAGCGAGTTTTAGCGGGCGCCATCCGGTTCGGGTTGATCTCGTATCAACATGGTTGATTTGCTCCTCCCTCTGTCTCTCTAATCATCCCTCTTTCCTCCGCGTCCATCACTGCGCTCTCCTCATCCCATCAGAGAGGCTCCTGCATTCGAGGTCTCTCTCGATCCTCTGCACTCCTGCCCAGCGACCCATGCCAAGAGGCAGACTCGCAGTCACACTCATGTCCTCGGCCATCGCCCCCGTTAAACCCTCCAGCACCGCGGGCCCCAAGGAGGTGGAGCTGATCCTGGTGAAGGAGCAGAATGGAGTTCAGTTCACCTCCTCCACCCTGGTCAGTCCCAGCGGTCAGACTCACCCGTCAGGGGAGGAGAGGGAAACCTGGGGAAAAAAGATTGACTTCCTCTTGTCAGTTATTGGCTTTGCTGTGGATCTCGCCAATGTCTGGAGGTTCCCCTACCTGTGCTACAAAAACGGAGGAGGTGAGAGAGACTGGCGTCTTTGAATGTTAAAATAGGGGTGAAGTCTGAGATGCGCTTGTTTGGTCTTTAAGCCATGCGGAGGAAATTGATTTAAACCTATAGTTGTAGAGGAATGTAGATTTACTAGCAATTTACAGGTGAATTAGTCGGTGAAGAGAAATGTTTAGTGAAATGTTAACATGTAATGATATTGAGCCTTTAAAACCTTGATAAACAAATATTGTGAATTCAATGTACATTACCAGTTTGGACAAGGGTTATTATAGTTAACTAAAACCATTATAAAAAAATAAAATAAAAAAAAACTCTTGTTGAATTACAATGGACATCAACTGGGGGAAAAAAGTAATAATAATAATTAAAAAACCTTCAACTAGTTCCCAAAGCAAAATTTATCAGTTTGATTTAGTTTAAATTGATTTACTAAAATAGCAAACTGAAACTGAAATAAAAATTAATAAAAGCAAAGGTAACTTTATTTGGACAGTCCACTTTAGACATTCTACTAACAATATGTAACTTTGCAACTACATGTCAACTAGAAGTCATTAGAGTATTAGTAGACTGTAGCTTAATATCTGAACTTTGCAAGTACATGTCAGCCTATTCTACTAATCCAAACCAGTCTACTAATACTCTAATGAGAGTTAGTTGACATGTAGTTGCAAAATTGCTACCAAGAAGATCTAAAGTGGACTATAAAAAGAAAGTGTAACCAAAACTAAATAGACATATCAATAAAAAACTTTTAGTTGTTACTTTTATTATTTTTAATAAGTTATAGAATCATCATGAAGTGCTTATCACACGTTCCTCCTTCACTAGTCTTTTAAAGTGTTGAAAGTTGGTTGATGAATGTCCAGAGTGAATCTAGACAAAGAAGAAGATCGGATATAAGAGAGATTTCATGTGTCACATGTTTTCATCATGACATCATTCCCAGACTTCCATTTTGTGTGATTTCAGCATTTTCATCACTTTACTCTTATTCTAACATGTATATTTCAGAAGGTTTCATACTCTATAACTGGTTGGTTGGGTTGTGGTTGTGTCAGGTGCTTTCCTGGTGCCGTACCTCTTCTTCATGGTGATTGCTGGGATGCCGCTGTTCTATATGGAGTTAGCGCTCGGCCAGTACAACCGTGAAGGAGCAGCAGGAGTCTGGAAGATCTGTCCTATCTTTAAAGGTAAGCTGTTGTTTCTCGTTTATTGAGTAATTTTATACAGCTGGCACGTGCACGTCTTAAGATTACAGTGCTGTTTTGATCAGATGTTCACTGGCTCTGGAGTCAGAAGGTGTTTGTGTCCCCGAAACGAACTCATCATGGCAAACTCTAGACAGGTGCTGTTTATCTAAAGCTGAAGTCATCTGCAGTCAAATGGAAGACAGAAAAATTGGCTTTTAGAATGAAATTTGCCTGCCAGACCTCAGTTGTTGGTGGGTCGCAAATTTTGCGTCACTTCACATCATGACAGTGGCCTGACACAAGCATAAAGAAAATATTAGCTAAGTGACCTTCACTCTCAGATCTGCATTGTTCCTAAATAAATAAATAAATGTTATGTGATGAGAAGCTTTATATAAAAGAATGTTATCTATATTGCTTTCTATGTTATTTAGAAATCATCTACACTCTTAAAAATAAAGGTTCCAAAAGGAGGTTCTTGCAGCGATGTCATAAAAGAACAATTTCTTGTTTTCCTTTCAGTGAAAAGTTCTTAAAAGAAAAAAAATCTTAATTTAATAATCCAAAGAACATTTTTCCACTATAAAGGACCTTTTGTTCAATGAAAAGTTTCCATGGAAGTTAAAGTTTATTCATGGAACCATCAATGCTAATAAATAAACTTTATTTTTAAGAGTGTATGTGCTTTCAAAATTCCAGAAACTAATGTGCTGATCTGAAGAAACTGTAGTCACATTGAGGACTTTTATTTTTCACCAAATAATTAAATGTGAAGAAGATGGCTCTATGCTGAACATTTTTTTTGTTTTAGATGCATTAGTTGTTTTTGATGCTGCTTATTTTTCATGCATGTTGGATTTCAAGTTGGTAAATAATGGCTCTTCAAAATAAAATCTTAAATATGAATCGAAACACAGTATCTAAAGCTTGATTTTGAACACACTCTGCATGGTTGACAAAGCCATCATCAAATACGCCTGTTTTCCGTATCCGTAACGGGCTGTCAAGCATATCGCGGATGGAGAGAGAAGGAGACGGACATTTTAATCACAAGCTTGGCTCTCTGTAAGCCTGCCACTCAACAAGAGATTACTGTAATTACCGCTGATCAACATGTTTGCTTCCTCAGGATCGATGCCGGGAATCACACATGTGCTGCTAATATATGACGGGAGAATCCTGCTGTTTGCTTTAAGACAAAGAACTCAGTTTGAAGGCACCATGGGGGTTTGATGGCAGTGAAAACTAACTCTGTCTTAGACCCGGAAGCTTTTTTTGTTTTGTTTTAGTGATTATGAATTTTTATTGCACCTCTTTTGTCAATTTGGTTGACTGATATGCTACGAGGAACTTCTTCAGGAGTAAAGACTGACCTAGACATTTTAAAAAGTGAAAACTTTCCACAAACAGTGTAGCAAAAAAATCTATACCTTATTATATTATATTATATTATATTATATTATATTATATTATATTATATTATATTATATTATATTATATTATATTATATTACTATGATTATTTACTATGAATTCACTGCTTTGGATTTGCTTTTTTTGCACTTCTCGAACACTACCTGGTGTAACACTCCCGCCATTGTACGCTAAATGTACGCACCATGTTGATGCTGGAGTGACCACACAATACATGGTCCAGATCAGCCTCCTGACAGCAGATGGACTTCGGGCATCGGCGTACACCATCCACACTTACACCAGGTATTGTTTCCGACCCGCTCTTAATCCCAAACCAGCGGAATCCCAACTTCTTCCACCTGTAACGGTAGTACTGCTCGGTCCCCTCGCCATATCGACTCAAATGCATAAGCAATTGGACTTATTATGGGCTTAATAGTCCTTTCTAGTTCGTCTTCTTCCATTTCAAAACAAGCTTGTGTTCAAAAAGTAAAGAAATGCTTATATTACTTCACTGGCCAGCGGAGCAAACCAATCTCGTGACATCATACACTGGGGTATTGCAAGATGGCGACGCCCTTACTCCTAAAGCTATAACAAAACATATTTTTTTTCTTTAAAATGGTTGCATTAATCGTGTTTGGACTCCAGATCTAAAGTATGAGAAGAAAGATGGAAATTACTGCCATCAATGAGGCACCGCAAAGCTGCGCTGAACTGTGTGGAGGAGTTATTTTTATTTTCCTTGGTGGCTGATGTTTGTAAGATTATGTGGAGTCCACTGATCTGCCACAGAGCGATGTGCGATGACCCCATGCTCATGGAAGGGTTTTGGTGTGGGCTGGACGAGGACATTCGCTTCCTCATGTCCAGAGGGGATCCCTGTTTGAGTCTAGTGGAGTACATCAACTTTGCTCTCTGGGTGGACGAATCTTCCTTGGGAAACGCTGAAGAGGAGAACAGTGCGACCGTCCAGCCCCAGCCAACATCCATCGTCATGTCGCCAATTCCATAGCCCAGCCAGCCATCACCCACTCACATGGACATTCAGCCAGACCCCACCGCAGACGAGGAGCTCAAGCCTGTCACGATGAGAGAGCCAGAACCTGAAAAGAGGACAGTGCCAGCCATCACCCCGGAGCCCAAGCCCCATAAAGAGTCTGACCATAGGACGTGGGACGCCTGGTGGATTATGAGGATATGGACAAGGACCCCGCCCACCATCCCACCACTGAGGGTGAGCTAAAGTTGGTCTATGTGGAGTATAATTATTTGGACATCCTTTTTTCTCCCGTCACCGCATATCCCGCCCGGCTCAGAATTTCTTGTCCCTGTGTCATCACTGATCTCCCCTAGTTCAGAGTCCCATGTGTATTCGTTGTCGCTGTTCCTGCCCAACTCTGAATTACTTTTACCTGCAGAGCACCAGCCCAGCCCAGCCTCCCTCTCCCGCCCCCTCTTCACAATCCAGCCAGCTCTTTGGCCCTGACTCTGCTGGTTCCCTACAGTCCCTCAACATCCCAGTAAACCCTATCAAGTGTGCAGATCTCCCATGGGTCCTCCGGTCGCCAGCACGGTCTTGGCAAGTGGTTCCCATAGCTCCTCCTTCAGCTTCACTCCACATCGGCCAGTCGACTCACAAGCTCAGCTTTGGCTCCTCCCTCCCTTGGCTTCACCCAGAACCTTCGTCCTTCCGCCTCTGACTGTTCAGTCATCGTTCCATATTCTTCCAGGACGTCAGCTACGCCAGAGACAATTTATATAGAGACATGCCACTTCCTCAATCCTCAATACAACTATATAGGGAAAACTCGTAACGTCAAAGATGGCGTTTGTATGCACATGTCCCGCCACTCCCGCTGGAAAGCCAATCATCTGCTATTAACAGTCAAGCCGGGAAACATGTAAGCCTATCGTCTGGTTCCACTGACGCATGCACACAGTTGAGGTTTGCGACAGCTGAGACGATTTGGCGACAGCGAGTTGTTTTGTGCCATTGTGTTGTGTGCAAGATCAGATGGAATCCACATGGAAGAGGGTGATAACAACGCGAAGACCCCGGACTACCAAGGTAGTTGTGGCGTGCAGGCCGAGGACGAGGGACGTGAGAGAGCGGCGCGAGGCCGGTGGCGTGATTACTGATGAGCGGCACCTGCGTGACGCATCGGTCTCGTATCTCTCACGGAGGAGGCATAAAAGGAGGAGCGACGACATGGAGATCGAGAGAGGAACAGGTCTGATTTTATGTTGTGTTTTGTTTCTGTTTTGTGTGGCCAGCAGCTCGTCCGGGGCTGCTGGCATACTTCCATTTTTGTATTTGTTTATTTATTAAAATGGTTGAATGTTCGCCGGTTCCTGCCTCCTTCTTCCCATAACATCTGAACCTTGTTACTGTAGTTAAAGCATTTTATATCGACCAAAAATAAATTACCTTATATTCTAAGTATGTGCTGTAGAGCACAACACTGGCATTCTGGATAGAGACGTAAATGAAGTTGGTGTCGTGAACACTTGCGCATGCGTAAAAATATAACCTGTGGGGAAAAGGCGTTTTAAACCTTCTTTTGGGGCAAAGTCATCAAACTTTTTCAGCGATTTTTATCATATTTTACTGCTGTTTCTATACATGCAGTTTTTATGTCCCGGTGACCAGTGAAAGTGCAGTTCTGACTCTCTGCCCATTCATTTAGATAGGAGCCTAGTCTTGTCAGTCCGAAATAGCTGCCCGGAAGCGTTGCCAAGATGGCGGCCGAGTGGCATGACTTGCCTAAAAGGACTTTGGCTACGCTTAGTCACTCCACCCCTCTGGCTCCTCCTCTGTCCTCCACATTGCCACCTCAGTCCTCAGGCTCCTTGGCTCCACTTCCATCGCTCATCATGGTGGCTTCGCCGTGGTCTCCTTAGCCATCAGAGTCATTCAGCCACGTCAGCTCTCTGTCTACGCCCTGGTCTACTCTGCCAACGACTCCATCTCCGTCCGTCATTGCCATGGTCCCTCCAGCATGGCTCCTCCTTTCATCGACTCCGCTATGAGTTTGGCTACTCCTCCTATGCACGCCATCATGGATCCTTCCGCCATTGGCTCCAGATATTGCCACCATATGCTCCTCCCCTGTCCCTCTCGTTTCCCCTCCTGCCAGTTTTCAGCCCTTCACCAGCTCCTCGTCCTCCTCCAGAACCCCCGGGTCAAGAATCCCTTGGGGGTGGGGGTGGAGTGTTCTGTCACACTTTCATTGTGTTTGGTTCTCATTTTCAAGGACTTTTAGTTTACATCCTGTTTCCTTTGTTCCTTGTTCCCGCCATTATTAGTTTCTATGGTTATTCATTAATTAGTTCACCTGTTTGCATTCAAGTCTTTATCATGTGTGTATTTATATCCTTCAGTTCCTTGTCTTCATTTGTCTGGTGTTGACTGAGTTTTAATACTCACTGTTATGTTGCTTGATCGTGCCGGGATATCGGATTTTGTTTATTTTTTATTAAAGTATTACCTTATTTGTACTTTCATCGTCTCGTCTTCTTCCATTTTGGACTCTACACGTTACAGAAACAAAGATTATTGGAGTACGAAGAAAATACTATTTCAGTCGTTCTCACGTTTAATTCAATGTGTTACTTGCCATTTCTTTGTAGCTGTTCATAAAATTTACTAGCATGTTTTGAGTGAAAACTGTTTCAAAGTAAATCCTGTAATATTTTTTTTCTTCAGTGCAGTTTAAGGATTCTCTCATCTGGATTTTAAAAACGAATCAGTTTTGACATTATAGCTGACAATACTTTTGACAACAACACCTACATTTGTCGTCATCTAATATCCCAAGATGCAAAGATCATTTAAACCCATTAATTCCAGGCTGGTTAGTGCTTGTTTAGCTGGTGGAATGACTTACTATTATTGCTGATAAGGCTGATTGATCAGCATGTTCATTATAAGGCTGACCAAGGAAATCTTGCTTGTTAAATTAGTTATACACCAGCATCAAAACATAACTTGGTGAGCAGTCATGGTCTTTACAGTAGTGATATCTTACTCATGTCAGGTTTGCTTGGTTTTCTCAGGTGTGGGCTTCACGGTAATCCTGATCTCCCTGTATGTGGGATTCTACTATAACGTCATCATCGCCTGGGCTCTGTTCTACCTGTTCTCATCGTTCACCAGTGAACTGCCCTGGATCCACTGCAACAACACCTGGAATAGTCCCAACTGCTCTGACCTCAACGATACTCTGCTCAACGACACGCATAAGGCAACGCCGGCGCTCGAGTACTTTGAGTACGGCCAGCACAAACACAAGCTGTCATTTCAAAAGCATTTCAGAAATACAGAGAAACCCCTCTACAACCATTACTGTACAGTCAGCAAGAACAATCTTCATCTACACTGTAAAAAAAAAAAAGTAATTTTAACAGAATAATTCTGGTAAAAACAGTAAAAATGCAAACATATTTACAGGACAACCTTTACATTTTACAATTTAAAACTTTAATTTACACAAAAACATTACATTTTAAAAATCCAAACAACAGTAAATCCAACAGCCCGAATTAGGAAAGGCCACAAAATCTGTTTTTTACCTTTATAATATACTGACATCCACCATAATAACACGGGTGTTAAAGAAAAAGACATGATGGATCAAAGTTCTTCACAAGTGACTATAGCTGAGGTACAGTGAATACTAATTTATAGAATAGGCACAGTGTCATACACACACAACACAAAACAACATCATGGTAACATACATGACACTAAATAATGTAATAAACATTTAACAACATAAGATGTAACATAAAACCCGAATGTACATGAATGATAATAAAAATTAAGAAGAAACATAATTATTAAAATGAAAACTTATCAAATTTGATTCCAGGAATGTCAGTATACAACTTTCACTGTAAATGAATGTTCTTTTTTACTTCCAAAAACTTTGGAACTTACTGTTAACCATTTAACAGATTTCTACTGTTTTTTTTTTACAGTCTTTTATAGTTAAAATTACAATCAGTATTTGTTTGCTCCGGTGTCTCTTGCACCTCCAGGCGAGGCGTGCTGCACCTTCATGAGAGTACTGGGATAGATGACCTGGGTTTGCCCCGCTGGCAGCTCACTGCTTGCCTGGCCGTGGTCATTGTGGTCCTCTACTTCAGTCTGTGGAAGGGAGTCAAGACATCAGGAAAGGTTCGAGCTCTTACACAAACTCTAATATATCTCTGCGGTCTTGCCAAACTGATGTTTAGCTGGTGTAGCAGGTGCCCTCTAAAATAAACCTGCCCAAAACAGACTGACCGGACTTGGAAACCAGGTAACCAGAAGATTCCACTTTTAGCACTTACCACAAACAGTGTAGCAAAAATCGGTATAAGTATTGTTTACTTAGTATAAGGAGATCAGACAATGGTGATCATCAGTGCCATGAGGCCAAAACAAATGAGCTGTTTTGATAAGAGTTTTAAAAATGTTTCCACCCTGTTAAATACAAAGTTCTGTCGTGAAACTCGCAGGCTGGCTTAAGCTGACAGGTCCTTAACTCAATCCGCTTGCAATCACATCAGTCTCTATAGGGCACAGCTGATTGTTTCCTGCTGTATCAGCAGCCAGTGAGCTCGCATGCGCAACCTTCAAATACTGGTCAGCATTTTCGGTTGGCAGTTACTTTCAGAAACCCTCCACCTTCCCCAGCTCCACCTGTATAGTCTGCTGCGGGTAATTCATGTATGCTATTTTTTACAGCAGCAGATTATGGGTTTTTTTTGTAATGAGGGGAAATCTTGCTGAAACATTGTTCTGCACAAAATGTGTGACACAATTAACTACTTTTTTTGTTAAATACAAGTTCTTAAAATTACTAATTTACAATTTTTTATGAATATGAGACTTCTGCGGTGGGACAGATTAAAAGTACAATTTATTTTCATGCATTATTGTTATGTTAGATAATCATTTAAAAATGTTACTAATAGTTCTCATCACAAAAGAAACAAAAACAAAAAACAAATCAATGTTTCTGATCGATTAGACATGCTTACAAACGACGTATCACAAACACTACTCATGATTTCTTCAAAAATCTGGTTTGCAACTGTCATGCAACTTATCTGTTTTCAGAAAATGAGTGAATAATACTGTTGTTTGGTAGTTTAAGCATCATATAAATATGATGCATTGATGTTGTACGTGACATTCATGATATATGTGTGCAGGTGGTGTGGATCACAGCCACAATGCCATATGTTGTCCTCACTGTCCTGCTCCTGCGTGGAGTCACACTGCCTGGAGCCATGGATGGCATTAAAGCTTACCTGAGTGTGGACTTCCTGCGGTTGTGTGATGCTCAGGTATACACATACACAAGTGTACATACACTACTGTATATTGATCAAAAGTGACAAAGACATTTATAATGTTACAAACAATTTTTGATTCAAATAAATGCTGTTTTTTTTTAACTTCTTATTCATGAAAGAATCCTAAAAAATAAAATGTGCCATGGTTTCCACAAAAATATGAAGCAGCACAACTGTTTTTAACATTGATAATAATAAGAAACGTGTCTTGAGCAGCAAATCAGCAAATTATAATGATATCTGAAGGATCATGAAACGTAAGAAATTATGCTAAAAATTCAGCTTTGCATCACAGGAATAAATTACATTTGAAAATATATTACAATGGAAAACAGTTATTTTAAATTGTAATAATATTTCACAATATTGCTGTTTTTACTGTATTTTTGATCAAATAAATGCAGCCTTGGTGAGCAGAAGAGACTTCTTTCAAAAACATAACAAAAAACAACTCTAAACTTTTCAATGGTAGTGCATCTCAATTAATATCTTAAACTGCATATAAAGCTAATCATAGTATTTGTATAAAAAGGCTAACCCATAATATTAAATAAAATGCTTATTTTGGAATAAAACAATTATTACAATAAATCGACATATAGATAATTTTGTCAGATGTACTGTACACTCTTAAAACAATAAGGCAAATAAAGCCTTTGTGTACAATGGATTATAAACATATTCATAATGTATGTTACAATGCATTATATATTTTCATAAATAATTATAACCAAAGTTAAAATGCATTTTTATATTTGCAGACTTCTTGTTACATCTGAAATTTTTTGTTTGTCATGTGTTTTAATGCATCATACTTTCTAAAGGCCTAAAATAAGTATTATAATATATTATAAGTGTGGTTCATGAGACCATAAAATGCTTTATAGGGTGAATTACAATGCATTATTCATTAAAAAAATACTTTTATAATGCATTATATATAAAGGCTTTAAGGAAAGAGTTACGAATTAAGTTTCTTTATTGGCATCGATGGTTGCATGAAGAACATCCATGGAATCTTTCCAATAGGCAAAAGGTTCTTTATAGTGGAAAAAGGTTCTTTGGATGTTTAAAATGTTATTCACACACACACACACAAAAAAGGTTATTTTAAGAACTGTTCACTGAAAGGTTATTTAGGGAACCAAAAATGGTTAACTAAGAACTACGTAACGTCTCCATTAAATGCACATGCATATACTTGCATTAAAGAGCATCTCTTTATTGCTCTTTGAAAACCAGTGGCATTTATACAAAATAGTTTTGATCAGTCAATAGCACATACTCAGATTCATTTGTGTGTGTGTGTGTGTGTGTGTGTGTGTGTGTGTGTTTACGAATCAATTTCTTGAACGCCTCATAAGAATCGCTCACGTCATCGTCATCGGCAGGTGAAGTTACTATTAACCTTAAGTAAGTTTTTCCACGATCCACGATTCTTTCTCGGAGGACCACTTGGCAAAGAGACCTCAAAGCGGCAATTTCAGAATTAGATTAGACACATGTGTGCAGCAGCAATTTGCAAAATTACCCTGTATTCACAAGTGTCTTTCATCTTTCTGCTGAATGAGTTTCCTGCAATTATCTCTAATGATAGCTGTTGTGCGGGCCCTTTTGTGCGGCCGGCCGGGGCCGTTTTGTGTCGCAGGTCTGGATCGAGGCAGCCACGCAGATCTGTTTTTCTCTGGGAGTGGGGTTTGGTGTGCTAATCGCCTTCTCCAGCTACAACAAATTCAGCAACAACTGTTATAGGTGAGCAAAGTCGAGTCATATACTGGAGCGATAACGCAAACAGACACAGTGGGATTCATGAGCGACACACACACACACACACACACAAATGCATTTTCTCACACTTTGAATTGCTGAATTAAAGCCCCTTTGATGATTTTTAGCACAGAGGCTTTTTGCATGTTCATCTTGACATCAACTGTTTCATCAATATCAGGCTGAACAGAATAAAGCCGCCGATGTTTGTTTGTGTTACAGAGACGCCATCATAACCAGCTCTATAAACTCTCTGACCAGCTTCTTCTCTGGGTTTGTCATATTCTCCTTCTTGGGTTACATGTCACAGAAGCACAACGTCGCTCTAGATAAAGTCGCCACAGATGGTGAGTGAGTGTGTTTGTATTTTTGCACTCTCAGAAAAAGAAAAAAAGGTACAAAAGGTGTCACTAGGGCGGTACCCATTCAAAACATACTAATATGTAGGCCTAGGCTATATTTAATTACTAACATGTACACTTTAGGGTTAAATGTGTACCTATTGAAAGGGAAGGCTACCGCCTCAGCTTTTGTAGGCATACCTTTTTTTTTTCTCAGAGTGCCATGTGATTGCTCACAATGACTTTAATGTATTGTTACCACAGCATTTATTAATGTTCATTTCTACATGTAGCACATTTTTAACACTTCAAGTTGTATAAATTAACATTTACATTTATTCATTTCGCAGATGCTTTTATCCAAAGCGACTTACAAATGAGATTATTACATGAAGAATACATAAAAAAATGAACATTAATCAATGGATTATGAACAATAGTATAGTTATAGTTCATGATAACTTATGTTAACAAATCAGTAATCTTACTGTAAAGTGTTACCGTTACATTTTGCTGAACAACATGATGCCTATTTTCTTCGCAAAATGAAGTTTTGTTTACATCCTTTTCATAATACTTAAGCAGAATATCCCAAAACGTTAAATTACTGTAATGCAATATATATATATATTTCTCATTAGTGTCATACAGAATTTAAATAATATACTGTAGCATATTAAAAATTGAATTTAAACTATTTAGGTAATAATATTATTATTATTAACAGTATTATTAATGTTTCATAGATATTAGATATGCTCAATGCTTCATGTCCTCTGTGAAATAAACACGTGGCACTGGATTCCTGATTGATCTCTTTTAAAGCTTAAGTGTCAGAGCCACTGGAGCCGGTGTTCATTGTGCCATACTCTTCCTAAACACCAGCGTCTGGAGACAGAGAATGATTTCTCTGAGAGCAAAATCAATGTGTGCGATGCAGAATGTCAGTGGAATCCAAACATGTCGATTTGTCTGATTCTCAGCAACATTTTCTGTTGGTCTGATTCGTATTTTCTGGAACAAATGTAAAACTAATGTATGTTTTCTTATGAACTTTAAAACATTTTGATCACAGACTTCTGCCTAAGTGCTACAATATTTTTTTTCTGATAAATAAATGCTATGACTCAAAAGTTTGGGGTCAGTCAAATTTGAATGTTTTTGAAAGATGAAAAAAAAAACAGTATTGTATTTTCAGTACGATATATATAACAGTATTTTTCGATATATATTTTAAAATGTAATGTATTTTTGTGATCAAAGCTGCATTTTCAGCATAATTACTCCAGTCTTCAGTGTCACATGATCCTTCAGAAATCATTTTAATATGCGGATTCGCTGCTCAAGAAACATTTATTAGTAATATCAATGTTGAAAACACTGCTTCATATTTTTGTGGAAACCGTGTTACATGTTATTTTTCAGGATTCTTTGATGAACATATTTAAAATAGAAATATTTTATAACAATATAAATGTCTTTACTGTCGCTTTTGATCAATTTAATGCATCTTTGCTGAATGTATTTTGATGTACGATATAATTCAGATAGTGAAGGAAAATTATAGCAGTGTTTAAAGAGCATCCCAGGAAAAAGGTGGGGAAGGTTTTATATTTTTTTTACTGTTTGTGTTATTGTTATTTCATCATTTTACTATTATTCTAACATGTAGAAAATGGTAAAAAAAAATTAAAGAATGAGTAGATGCATATATTTGTACTGTTAGTGTAAATATAAAAAAATATTTTTGGTGATTCCATTCAGTTTTTTATAAAAACATCTTCAGTGTAAAATCATTTTACAGTGTGTTGGTGTACTTTGTATTGATATGATTGTGATATTCTATTAAATTATAGACTAATACAGTAACCTCAGAGCTGCTCTCTGTGGTTTTTAATGCAGTGTATGTAAAGGTGTTGAATCTTTGCTTTTTGCTTCTCTCCAGGTCCTGGTCTGGTGTTCATAATTTACCCAGAAGCCATTGCTACACTACCAGGTTCATCAGTGTGGGCTGTAATCTTCTTCATCATGCTGCTCACTTTAGGAATCGACAGTGCTGTGAGTCGATGTGATAGACTTGTTCTGTCCATCTTAGCATGCTCAATCTGAAACAAAACTCCAGGTTGCATGTATTTACCAACACAGTCTCATGAAAGTGCGTATCTATACCACGAATGTCATTTCTCGTGCCATTTATACGCCAAAAATGTTTTTTGCGTGCATATGCTACGCACTGAAAACCCCTTGGGTAGGTTTAGGGGGGAGGGGGGTGGGGAGTGCGTGCGTATTACACGCCATAAAGTGCGTATCATATGCACGCGAAAACTGCGTATCATATAGACGCAAAAAACATTTTTGGCGTATAAATGGCACGAGAAATGACATTCGTGGTATAGATACGCACTTTCATGAGATCGGGCTCTGTATCAGTACAGTACAGTGTTACTTAATGCTATACATTAGGTGATGACTGTTGAATTAACACAATGTTCTGTCCTCATAGCCTGGTAAACTCTGTTTTTTAGATGGGAGGGATGGAGTCGGTGATCACGGGACTCATCGACGAATTCAAATGCCTGCACAAACATCGAGAGCTCTTTACGCTCTTCATCGTAGTTTCCACGTTCCTCATCTCTCTCATCTGTGTCACAAACGTATGTGAGAGGCAAACAGTCCTTTAATGAGAACGCTCTCATATAATGAACTTTTCATCTGATTATGAAGAGTCTCTCAAAGACTTATGGGGCGAATGTGTCGAATCTCTCTGTTCATCGTGATAATGTTGTTCTCTTTGGTTTGTTCTCATCTCACTTCTTTCTCCAGGGTGGCATCTATGTGTTTACCCTGTTGGACCACTTTGCCGCCGGGACATCGATTCTGTTTGGAGTGTTGATTGAGGCCATCGGCATCGCCTGGTTCTACGGTGAGGCTGATTGCTCTTCTTACATGTCCAGTGAAGCTGATGTGGCATTAGGGCTCTGATGGGCTTTCAGACGGTTGTGCTCCGGGGCCGCTCGCGCTCATTAAGCTCCCAGGGGTCCTGATATGTGGCTTATGGACTCATGTCTGTCTGGAATGCGGAATGGTTTACTCTTCTTCGCAAGGATTTGAAAAACCACTTATGAATTTGCCATTCAATTTTAACTCTGTATTGATCTACTTGTAATCAAGGAAACATTTTCATTTAGTTTAACAGGATGTACTAAAATAACAAAACTAAAACTGAAAGAAAATTATATATATATACAGTATATATATATATATATATATATATATATATATATACATATAAAAAGATAAAACAGAAAATTGTTAAAACTTCAACAAAAATGAAAATGGGAAATATAAAAATAATAATAATAATAATAATAAACTAATTCATATTAATAATAAAAACTATAATAGCATCTCAATGATACAAAAATAACACTGACTATACTAGCACTAAATAGATTTGGTTTTTACTGAAAGTCTTTTAAAAGAGCTACAAGAAATGATAATAATACTAATCTGAATGATGGTCTTCTGGGCAAATGAAGATAAATTATGATTATTTACCAGTTACCACAAAAGTAATATTAGAAGTTAGTCAGACATTATTATTATTATTATATAACCATGTGCACATGGCAGGTCCTATTAGTAGTGGCATATATTGAATACAATGTTGTTTTTTAACAATCTGAACGATGGTCCACTGGATTAATAATAATAATAATAATAAAAGATCATTCTGTACATTTCAACAAAGTAATATCACAAGTTAGTCCATGGCAATGATAACTATTTTAAATTTTGGTGAATCATGACTAAACTGTATGAATTCGTATGAATCTCATTTGTACGTTCCCAAGACGTCATATAACTGACGTCTTGGGACGTCTTTTGACCATACGTCAATATCCGCCTTTTTAGGGTACCCTTAAACGTCGGTTAGATGACGTTATCGGATCCTAACTCTACCCCAGACCTAAACCTACCCCTAAACCTACCCCGTCACCTAACTGACGTTAAAGGTAAAGCGTCAGTTGTATGACGTCCCAGGATCGTCATAAACCGACGTTTAAGGGTACCCTAAAAAGGCGGATATTGACGTATGGTCAAAAGACGTCCCAAGACGTCAGTTAAATGACTTCTTGGGATGAGACTGTGTTGTTTTAAGACGATCCGACCGCAGTGACGGTTATGTTCAGGGGTGGACCTTCATCTTTTTTCCCCCAAAAAATCATATGTATTTGTACAATACACGGTGTACAAATTGATACGAAATCGCCACCATTTAAAACAAATATGTTTTCCCATGACATCTGGATGGTTAGCCAGAGTGTATATTTTCACTTTTGGTGCAAAATAGACTAGAGGCTTTTGCATCTGGATTGCACATTGGATTGCTCAAGAATATTTAGTATTTAGCCGTTATTTATCCCTTAATCAAAGATTTACGACTTACAAATATATACTGTAACATTTGATTAACTGTGCTAAGGGTGGACATAGACTATTGTGGTTACATAATACGATTGTATCCTGAAAGCTACAGTTAGAAATTCTTTTCAAATACTCAATCCCTAAACGTTTGACGCATTGACTTTGTCCTCGAAAAGCCATTTCTTTGCTTTTGACAAACTGGCATGTGGTTGGAGGAATGTGAACTTTGCAAACATACCTAAGGCAATAAACGATTCTTGGAGACCTGAACTTCAGCGTGACACCATAAGCTCCGGACTGAGAGATCAGCATCAGAGAGCAATGTTTGAACCTCTGGATCTTGAGGTAGCAGGTCACAGGCTGATGCTGTCAGTCAGGCCAAGACCAACCAGCCTGAGGCTTCAGTGGCCTTTTTGGAAGTTCCGTTTGCTGTCGAACACCTGTGCGTTTGGCCCTCTGCTCGTGACAGCTCTGCTCTCGATGTCTGGGGCATTCAGACATCAAGCCTTGATCAAAGCCCTGCGGCCAACCAGACTCACAATGCAAGAGATCTACATGGAAGCCACTATGAAGTTTGCTTCTGATCAGTTAGTCATTTTGTTTAGTTTTTTTTCATAACAAACAAGTGCACAACTCGAAGTGATATTGTTTCATGTGGAGCATGGCTTGATGGTGTCACTCAATATTGGCATTTTCATATATTAAAATATGATTTTAAGTCAAGTACGCCTATGAAGTATAGCGGATAGAGGGGCCAGTTTTCATACTTATTATGTCTTCCTTCATGACTCACTGGCTACTAGAAATCTACATGCCATTTTTGGCATACAATGATGAATATCTATATGTTTCAAATGTACACTACAATTGAAACTGTTGGGGTCCTTAAGATTTTTTTTAAAGAATTGAATATGTTTATTCAGCAAGGATGCATTAAATTGATTACCTGTGACAGTAAAGACATTCTATTTTAAATAAATGCTGTTCTTTTGAACTTTCTGTTCATCAAAGGATTCTAAAAATTAAAAAAGTATAACGGTTTCCACAAAAATGTGAAGCTGTTTTAAACATTGACGATAATAAGAAATGTTTCCCGAACAGCAAATCAGCATTTAAAGAATGATTTCTGAAGGATCATGTGACACTGAAGACTTTAGTAATGATGCTGAAAATTCAGCTTTGCATCACAGGAATCAAATCATTTTAAAATATATTACAATAGCAAACAGTTATTTTAAATTGTGATAACATTTCACAGAATTACTGTTTTTACTGTATTTTTGATCAAATAAATGCAACCTTGGTGAGCAGAAGAGACTTGAAAAATAAAAAAAATGAAAAAATCGTATAACTTTTGCGCGGTCTTGTATCATTGATCAAAGATTAATGTATCACTGATCTGTTCTTCAGAGAAAGGAAACATCAGAGTTCACAATATGCCAGTGATACAATTGATTGTCACAGTGGTTGGAGACAATCACCTGTTTGCCTCTGTTCCCTTGTTCTCCTTATGGCTTCCTGCCATAATCAGTTACCATGGATATTAAATTAACCATCACAGCTGTTCATCATTGAGTTCATCACCATGTTCCTTGCCTCACCTCATTCTTGTTTCCGGTATTGTTTGTGCATGACACACTGTTTCGAGCTGTTGGCTTATGTTTAATAAAGACTGTCGTTATTGTACCTTCTTCTTCATCCGTGGACTTAAACCATAACAACTGTGTACAAATGTGTGTTTATAGTCTAGTGCCTTTTAAATATTTAAAATTGGTTAAACCTTTTTTAAATAAATGCAACTGATATGTAAAAGAAGACAAGTCTTTAACTAGATATTTTAAAGAGTCGGATTCTTAATTCAGTTATACAATTTTCAATTCTTACTTTTTGTAGCTGACCTCACAGCCATGACAATATCTCGGATCTGTTTGGTAGGAGCTGCAGTATCAGTGACATTCATGTTCATATTTAACCAACAACCTTATTAGATTTTAGTTTGGATTCAAAGGTGTCAACAGTTTGGAGAGCAGAAGATACAAAATTTACATGGAATAAAGTATCAACTAACCTAAATAATTTGAGCTTCACCTTCTGGACATTTACCAGCGTGTGTGTTTTTAGGTGTGGATCGCTTCAGTGATGATATCGAGGAGATGATAGGACAGAGACCTGGCCTCTACTGGAGACTGTGCTGGAAGTTTGTTAGCCCGTGTTTCCTCTTGGTACGTTAACAATCATGATTCCTCTGTTAATAACACAACAATGCAAATAATTCCATGCCATTTGTATCATGAAAACTCCTTTATTTAGCATTAAACGGTCCTTGTTTTCTCTTCCCTTCATTCAGTTCATGGTTGTTATCAGCTTTGCGACGTTCAACCCTCCCAAGTACGGTTCCTATTATTTCCCCACATGGGCTACGATGGTGGGTTGGTGTCTGTCCATATCGTCTATGATCATGGTGCCTCTCTACGCCATTTATAAGTTCTGTTCTCTGCCGGGAAGCTTTTGTGATGTAAGTATTCCATACGTTGAATATGCAAAAAAAACTTTATCGAAATTAATTACGTCAAGTCAGATTTATTTTTATAGCACACAATAAAATGCAGATAGTTTCAAAGCAGCTTCAGGTAAAATAATTAAATCAATAATGCAAACTCCATCAATTATGAAACGGCTTTCAGCTGTAAAGCAGCTCTTCTGAAGACAACAAAGTCATCACTCAGCTCAATTCAGTTCAATAACATTGTTGATGTTACAAAGTTAGTGTCATTATCAATTCAGCTCAATTCATTTTTAAATTTTTGTTCTCGTCCAATAGAGTATGCACATGATATCACAGTAATTACACCCACTGAGTGCCAAAAAGACTGAGTGGCAGCATTAGTGTTTTAGATTGAATGCAGGGGATGTGTGACCGGAGAAATAGGATCTAAACCAAGTGAGAGGGACACCAGTAATACCAATAGACATTAAATGACCAGAAATGGTATCGAAGGCCGCACTTAGATCAAACAAGATAACTATAGTTAAGAGAACAGAATCAGCCGCCGTCAACAGATCATTGGTAACTTTTACCATGGCAATCTCTGTACTACAGTATGTAATGGATGGAAACTGAAAGTGTTCAAACAGATTTTCCAAGATTGATTGTACAAATAGATTAATCAAGCTATCTTTTTACAGACTGCCAGAAGCTACAGAAAAGAGAAGCAAATAGATCACAGGCAATTCGCAGAAACAACTAGAAACCTGTCACAGAAGTGTGTAATTACAGTTACCATTTTGTGTCAGATACGTTTAAAATAATAAAGTCCCTGGTAAAATCAAGGGTAAAATCATACCCTAGGTTATATTTTATATTAATATTGTATTGTAATTAAATATTTACCATCTTCTATTCTTTCATATAACATCCATTTTGATGAACCTTGTGTTTTACAAAGGGGGATGGTTGGATAATGTTAGACAAAACCAGTTTTCCTTGCAAAGCAAAGCAACTCATCGTTTGCCTTATGGTAATGCTATCCAGATAACTTTAAAAGTTTCTACAAAGTATTTTGAAATGTCCAGAATATCCAGTGATGTCCTCGTCACTTTAATTTCGCCATCAAACCCTGTCTTGAAGTAAGGCTTAGTGTGAAGTAAAGTAAGACTTCTCAATACACCGTCTATAATGCCTTAGTGCTTTAACAAGTTAAAGGGCTGGGCGATATATATAGCCTAACAATGATATAAGTGATCATCTGGATTTATAGTGTTGTTTAGCAGAAAAAGCGTTCACAGGCTTTGCTTTATATTTCCCCGGCATCGATAAATGTCATGAATTCCTGGCCACATGTCAGTGTCAATGGACCACTGGTTCTTTGGTAAGTTGTAAGGGTCACTGTCGAGTCTAACTGTCTTCAATTTAAGCAGATACTTGTTTGTTTTACTCCCGTTTAAGCAGTTTACCAGCCATGTTGCAGGATGTTTTGCCACTCAGACTGGCTGAGGGGGCGTGGCTTGGCAGAGAAAGTGACATCAGTGCATACCATCTATTGTGTCAGAGAAGCTGAATCGATAATATTACTCAACAATCAATGTCTTTTTTAAACCTACTAAATTCTACTACTAATTGAACCACTTCTAAAGATTCATCATATGCAAAAATGATAACGCATTATTGTTGATATTAACATCCTTGCATTCATCTTGTTGTTTCCATGAATCGGTGCGAATGTGTTGCGCTATTATCTCGACAGAAACTGGCGTATGCCATCACTCCAGAGACTGAACATCACTTGGTGGAGCGTGGGGAGGTCCGGCAGTTCACGGTGAGATCTTATTTTCAGGATCACGGGTTGAAAAAAATCAGACAGCCGTTTCATGTGTACTTGGAAGATTACATAAATTTTATGGGTGAACTTTCAATTATGCTAAACATGACATTTTACAGCACCGTTATCACAGATACAGTACATGACTTTTAGGGCAATCCGATCCTCAGTGCAGATATGCTGTGATTGTTCTAGCCTCACTGATATTCCTCCATAAGAGTAGAAGAGTCTTCAGTTCATTTAATCTTTGTGTCTTTTTTCACACTCTTAAAAGCATAGATTCTACAGTAAATAGAACATTAAAGGGTTCTTTCAGATGCTTCATATGTAGAACCTTTTAAGGGGTTTGCGTCATGAGATTTGATGGATTTAGTTGTAATTAATTCATTAAGTTTTAATTCACTTTTAGTTTTAATTACATTTTATGAATTAAACAGCCCGTAAACATACTTTATCACTAGAAAAGTAACTTTATTTTAAGGTGACGTAGTTACATCTTACTACATGTACTATAGTAATAACAGTAAATAACCTTATAACAAATCCTAACCATAACTCTACAGTCAGTTCATTAATATTACTCAGTACTTATTTGAGTAAGTACAATGTAACTATATCACCTTAAAATAAAGTGTAACCTAAAACATGTTACACATGAAAGTATTATGCAATAATTTAACTTCTAAAAGTTGCTTATATATAACCTTTTTGGCTTATAGTTTTGGCTTTGAAGTTGAGTCAAGAACACTAGGGTTCTATTATATATATAAAAAATGTTCCAAGGGGACATTTACACAATAACGATGTACTAAACGGAAAAGTTTTTCGCATACAGTTAACAGCGTTGTCAAAACGATCCCCGTTCACACGGATCCACGAAAATTACAAAAAACGCTGTATTCTGCTCCCGGGCCATTAGTTGGCAATGTCACTTTGTAGAGAAACATTACGCATAGACTGATTATGTAATGAGCATGTCGTTTTCAAAAATTAACATTTTTGTACTTTACACAGAGACGACAACAGTATAGTTTTCAATAACTTTCCCTTTGTAACTCATTTTCAGGCCCCCAGAACGCTTTTGAAAATAGGGACCAAAAACCCAAACCATGAATGACCAAAACACATAAAAAGTTTTTAGTTTTTAGTTGAAAACGGTGTCATGTAAAAGATCCCTTAGAGTGCATAATTTCTGTAAAGCAACTTCAAAACGACACATGTTGTGAAAAGACTTGTTTCTTACAGCTTCAACACTGGCTGGTGGTTTAAGCGGCGCTCTACATGGAGGTTACGAAGGCACCGGAGGACTCGGCTTGACAAGAGCCATGCGTGTCAGTGCCAACAGAAGCGTATTACTAGTTGTTTCTTTCTCGCATAATCGGATGTGGCTGTTTCGTGACTTCGATCACAATGTGGTTGACATTCTGTCAGTATCAAGTTTTACTCTTCACTATACGATGACTGTTATGATATCTGATGTTGTCCCCACTGAATTATATTGTTCATTTATTTCTTCTTTTTTTGTGATCAGAGTACAACTGAGCCTTATTGATAATTGTGATTGAAGTGTCAAAAACTGTACAAAATACATCTTTAGCAACACTTAAATTTAGAAAAGTGTAAATAGTGCTACTGAAAAAATAAATCTATCCTCTTTGTGTCTAAGAAATGCAAATGCATTTATGTTCAGGTTGATCACAAGTTTCATGCTTGCTTACAGTGTCAATCAGATGCACATTTGATTCATATGACGTCCCAGAGAAGAGCTCTCTTGACAGAAGACTTTAGATTGCATTGGTCATTTAAGGGGCGCCAACAATTGCTCCATGTTTGCAGAACTGCAGAAAAATTCATCTGCATGCAACAACATGCTATGTGTCAAACAACGATTCCTTTTGTGGGCTATTTGCATACACATCTTTGCAATTACTCAATGCTGTGGGAATCTTCCAAACGACAAAACACAGTGGCATTTATGGGATTTCTGTCTCACTGAATGTTGTCATCCACAACTATACTACTGGAGATTTATTTACATGAAAGTTTATTACGAATATAGTCTTTAGATTTTATGATTTCAGTGCCTGCTGAAATTTGTCAACTACTGAAATGTTAATAAAGAGTGTTTATGTAAAAAAAAAAGGGAAAAAAAGAGAAAAAAAAGGAAAAGGGATTTGATTGTTTCTTAACACAAACACTTCACTTCATTGGAATCAATATTTGTGGAAGAGAAAGTGCTGAATTCATGCTGTGGACATACTGTATCACAAAATAGGCAATGATATGGCCAAAACCCGTGTCAAGTTTCTACTGAAACAAATTCAGTTTAGGACATTTTATTCTACTCTATACAGAGATAAAATATAAGTTTCTTTGAAAAAAAAAAAATTCTGTTACTACTTGTTTCAGAACATTCAAAAGTACCGTTCCCATAACGTTTGCAAAATTATCAAATGGATTGTTCCCCTAATGTTCGCATAACCAAGAAGAAACTTTTCAAAACCTAATATAAAAATTAGCAAAACGTTTTTAGAAAAGTTTTTGTTAGCTGGGTATGTAAAACGGAGTCCCAAAACTACACAGTACTGCCAACTCCATCATGTCGGAATCTATAAACAAATCTTAAATATTTTAAGAATATTCTCAGGCTTTTGTTCATTCATCATTCTACTATACAGTAGATGATTCTCATTGCCAATTATTTTATTTTGAAATGACATATGTATAAAAAAAAAGACCTCAAACAAATTGGTCTCCTATCTATTTATCAATTGTTATGAAATGTTCTAGACCTTTAACACAAAAGCAGGAACTAGATAGTATGATTATGCCACATAGAGGAATATAACAGATTCAAAACCAACTCTTCCTAAAGTGCCTGTGTAAGTGACCACAGGAAAACATTTGTGTCAGTCTGTAAATAAATGGCAACAGACACAAAAGTAAATGCAATTGTAATTGGAACTGAGTTCTATTGAAAGAGCATTGGTGTAAACATAATTTTAGCTTGTACAAAATGTTTGTCTATGGTAATCGACAGCATGCCACATATGTTGTCAATAACGTTTAACTTGTATTGAACCTAGAATGTTGACAATACCATTAGATAGCAAGGTTCACTTCAAACTAAAATGTGTTATTATCAGCAATGTGATTTGCCAAAACGGTCCCTCACAGGCTGTAGAACATCTGTGGTATAAGCTTACATTTTTGGTGATTGAATTCCTGACTAAATATATTCTGACATAATATAATATTACAAACATGGACCCTAAACATGATGTTAAAGTCACCACAAAATCAAAAAACATATATTTTTTATGGAATATTGCAATGTTTATTATAAATTATTTATCCTTGCACATCATTTTTTTTAATTCATGTTTAATCAAAATAACTTCCGCTCCCTCTTGCAGCAATATCTTTTCTCTTCTCTGATGATGTGTTTACTGGCACGAGGGTGGGACAACCTGTCACTCACATGAGACTGACCAATAGGAAACCACATCCATCCAATCAATTCCCCATGGACAAAATCAAGTCCCGCCCTTCGTTTTTTCTTGAATGCCGCTTCACTCAGATATACAGAAAATATATAGAAAAGACTATCACAACGTTTCATGCCAGATTTAAAGATGCATTTGTTATTCTGTCATAAATACATGTAGGATATATGATTAAAACATCCCTATATATATATAAACTTCTCATCTTACAGTAGTTATTTCTACAGTATGTGTTTCATCTGACGTGATTGAACATGGTGACCCCTTCTGGATAATTTTTTCACCGTTGCATTTATCCCTTGAATTCTCATCAGTTTGCTCTATTTTCTGAGAACTGGCTGTTGGACGACCTCCATTTTTTTTCTAGTCAGGAATAGATTTGTTCCTGTAATCCTGTCCTTTTTTCCTGTAGTTGTGTCTCTAGGCTTAGAAAACAAACATTTTGATCTACATGTGTTTTGACAACAAATGTTGAAGCTAGTGATGGTATTGAACACAGAAATCTTTATTTATTGGTACTGTAAGTCATCGCATTTACCAGAAAGACCAGTTGCAGTCAGCAACTAGACCAGAACCACACAAGCTAAACAGCATAAACCTGCCTTAAATGCTGACCCAAGCTGATCTATTCAGCAGATATCTTTTTTTTAAATAATCTAAAGAACATTTGGTAACACTTTACTTGAAGGGATGTGCATAAGACTAACATTACACCTTCATAATCATGAGAGGACACATGTCATGAATATTAAGGAGGTTTTATCCATGTTTATGACAACTGTCATTAAGTGTCATTCGCTCAATTATGACATTTTTAATGCAAATATGACATTGTTTGAGATGTCTTTGTTATGACAACTTGACATAAACCAATACATTAAAATATGATGTATTGGTGCCAAAATATGATTTTTGTGACCTTTCTAGTGATTTATAGTTATAGGCCACCTACATTTTCCCCCAAAAATAAGTTCTTTCATGTAAAATTATTATTATTTTAATTACTGTATTATTATATTTATTCTTAAATACTGTAATAATGTTATTAATATAGTGATAATTCTTATTTAAAAAATTGTATTTAGTACTAAAAATAATAAAAAATAATCATAAATATTATTATTAGTCATATTGATATAAGTACAAAATTCAAACACTCACTGGAAGCAGGAATTCAAATCCGAGATTTATCTAAAAAAAATTAATCTTACTTTAAGTGAAGCTGTGAATCTGCAACTTAAGCTTTACCTGAGCAACCCTAGAATCAAAGATGAAGAGCTGATAGAGCGAGTGAATGAAGCGGCAAACAAGAGCAACAACAAAAATTGAAGCAGAGCAGACAACAGAGCAGAAGTCCTAGAAATGAAAAAGATAGTAAATGAGACACTGTAAACAGCTAAGGTGCATGCCATAACAGAACGAGTAATACCTGCAAACGCCAACAGACTGCGAGGATGCTTCAGTGAGCAGTGCAAACACTGTTTCCGTTGTGGACTGGAGGGACACCTTTCCAGAGGTTGTCGGCGACCCAGAGAACAGCGGGGTAATGGGAGGGGGCTCCTGCGTCGGGACCCTCAGTAGCCTATGAGATATGGTCCCCCCTCGATTACTCGAAGCAGACCGTGAAACAGAATGGTCTGAAAAATGTTGTTAATGACACTCCTCTTTACCAAAATCCAAAACTGATAAACCACATTGGTAGCAAATGTCTGGTTCACTGTTTGCTGGAGGGAGTTCCTGTGGAAGTTTTGTGGGACACAGGTGCACAGGCAAATGTTATCAATGAGGAATAGAGAAAAAAAACATACCTCATCGAACGGTGAGAACTCTTCACAAACTGCTGGAGTCCAGTACCATGGTTGGGTTAGCTTAGCTGTAATTGTGCGTACACACCGCCGCCGACTTGAGCTTCTAGCATGGTTTAAATCCAACGCATTCTCATCCTTTGGCGTCATATAGGTGACGCCTGACAAAACGTCGAAATACTACGCACATGGCACCCTTTAGCGTGAATATAACACGCGAAGTGATGGGTAGGTTTAGGTGTGGGGTAGGGTCTGCGTCTCATATTCACGCTAAAGGATGCCAGTCAACTTTATGACGCCTTGGGTTCGCGTGTTATATTCACGCTAAAGGGTGCCATGTGCGTAGTATTTCGACGTTTTGTCATATAGCGTCACCTATATGACGCCAAAGGATGAGAACGGGCTGTTTAAATCATACTTATCTGACCGTTATCAGTTTGTAGCAATAAATGAAGATATGTCTTTTCGATCACAAGTTCAGTATGGCGTACCACAAGGCTCAGTAATAGGACCGTTGCTGTTCACTCTGTACATGCTACCCTTAGGAGATATCATTAGGGAACATGAAATTAGTTTTCACTGTTATCCTGATGATACTCAGCTCTATATTTCTTCACGCCCCGACGAAACTTACCAATTCACAAAATTAACAGAATGCATAGCCGATATAAAAAATTGGATGACTAGTAATTTCCTACTACTAAATTCTGAAAAAACAGAGATTCTAATTATTGGACAAAAAACTTCCACACGTAATAACCTAGAATACTGTCTAACACTTGATGGCTGCTCTGTTAAGTCTTCGTCGTCGGTTAGGAACCTGGGTGTGCTCTTTGATACCAATCTCTCATTTGAAAGTCACGTGTCTAGTATCTGTAAAACCGCATTTTTCCATCTTAAAAACATATCTAAATTACGCCATATGCTCTCATTAACAAATGCAGAACAATTAGTTCATGCGTTCATGACATCAAGGCTTGATTATTGTAATGCTCTACTGGGTGGTTGCCCTGTACGCTTAATAAATAAACTGCAGCTAGTTCAAAACGCAGCAGCTCGAGTTCTTACCAGAACCAGGAAATATGACCATATTAGCCCGGTTCTGTCAACACTGCATTGGCTGCCTATTAAACATTGTATAAATTTTAAAATATTGTTGATTACTTACAAAGCACTAAATGGTTTAGCTCCGCAGTACTTGAGTGAGTTTTTAAAGCATTATAGTCCTTCACGTCTATTGCGATCTCAAAATTCCGGCCAGTTGATAATACCTAGAATATCAAAATCGACTGCCGGCGGTAGATCCTTTTCCTATTTAGCACCAAAACTTTGGAACAGTCTTCCTACCATTGTCCGGG